AGATTACCAAATTGCATATCATTTGCTTTTGCATATCACTTAATGCTGGTATTCAGCAGGAAGATATCGAATCTATAAATCTTCTGGTTAAGTATCTCGGACAAGAAATTTCGAAAAATTCGTGTTTAATTGTAACACGATGTGAGTCGGTCGACGAACAGCAACGAGAAAGATGGCAAAAAGAATTACTTGAAGATATTCATTTCAAGAAGGTTGCATCATATTTTCAGAAAGGTATATTCTTTTCGGGTGCAATCAATCCTGATAATTTCAAAAAGGCACACGAGAATGTAAAAGATCAATTTGATGCAATCAACGAATATCGAAACAAACTCATGGATTTGTTTGTGAACGAAAATGAACCACTCTCTATTAACGAGACATTAATAACAGCAATAAAACAAAAGCGAAATAATCGGTATGTAACTATGGCAACCTCTATTTTAGCTTGATCTAGTTTGATGTTCGAAAATAGGATACAATATTGTCTTGAGTCACTGCAGCTTAAGAAATGTGTTGGATCTTGAAACAGATAATATTGAAATTTTTTCGATTTTGTCTTGAAAAACCAAGAGTTGCTAAACATCTATGAATTAAGCTAGTATATTTCTTTCGATAAGATAAGATATTTCGTATTTCTAAGAGGCATCCTGTATAACTATTCAGATTTCCTGGAACGAGCAAACATTTTTAGTTGTGTCTTGTTTTGAAAACAAATACGAACTATATTGTGTTCACAAACACTGCTACCTCCTATTTAGTCAGATCGAGAAATACGATTTATGAACAAATTTAACTAAGACATGTTCACAGATTACTTGACTGTTTCCGTATAGTTGAACTTTGGGTTTGGTTTACATTAACATTAAGAGTATCATATTCCCACCGATGTTACTAGTCCGTGGTACTGCTTAACATTAACCAGACGATGTGTGAGAGATAATACTTATGGATATAGAGTAAGTGATTTAGATTTACTTGAAAGCAGGCTATTGTAACAATCTCCGATGCGACAAGAATTTTACGCTGATCGAGCTACGTGTTGTTTACTTCTTCATCATAAACTGTAACTAATATATGTAAAGCATACACTTGTTTATATACGAGGAGTGTACTACAGAGAATAGAAGTAAGGACCCAGGCGAGTGCATGCTGAGAACCAAGAATGAAAGCTTAGTAGTCATACTGTATTCCAAACTCAAACACGGCTGTTACAGCTATATAATTTCGATTGCTGATGATTAACATAGATATCTTTCGCGCTGTTTTTTTTTTCGGTCACGAGTGCTCTGTTTCAAATAATTGAATTTGACAAAACTTGAACAAAGTTTTGTTGTATATTTCATCTTTTCATGAAATGGGCATTGACAGTAAAGTGCCTTTTTAACTGAGATTTTTTCCACAAATAAATATAGGAGAACAAACAGTTAGGCATGGGTAACATAGGAAACATAGTCATTTCGCTCGAAATGACGGCGTTACTGTAGACGTGTCTTCGATCAAGAGAGCCGAACTCACACCTATAGCCCACAACCACACATATCACTTTTTTTGTTTCGGGTCAAACAGAATATAGATTAGATTAACTCAACTCTTTATAATTGAAAAGATACATTACCCTACTAGCATTCTTTTCTCTATCAAATTTAGAAGCAATTCATGGAACTTGTGCTGGCCCTGGAGCATTATCGTTGCAGTGATATTTGTGATTATTGCAGCTAGGATGGTTGCTTCTTAGAAAAAAATGATGATATTCATAAAAGATGAACTCATTATTAAGATCAAATAAGAATACAAAGTTGAATATGAGTATAAACTTTTTCTGTAATGATAAGTTGGTTCACTTGATTATTATCTTATAACATTGTAACTTTAGAACATTAAATGAGTAATCTGAATACAATGCTATCCGTATAATAATGTGTAATCGGCGGTCTTTTTGTCTCATAATTCTTCGTTTCAGATGTCGTATTCATCACCTAGTATTCAGCTGAAGCAACAGAATATTAAAGAAGAACTTAAGGATCAATTTAATCAGTTCGAAAAACCACATAGACAATTAGCATCGACTAATCCACCCATAAAAAGAAGCATCCTTTTGCTTGGCCCTACAAAAAGTGGCAAGACGACGTTGGAAAATGTACTCAAAGATCCATTCTACGTACCACCATATGCGAAAGTGGGTTCATCAGAAAATCAATCTCCAACTGTGACATCAATAGAATGTTATACGTCGACACATATCACAGTGAACATTGTTGAAATTCCTGGTGCTATGCTCAATAACGAACAGAATATGACCCAGATCGATGAAGCGTGCACTAAGCTGGGTATTACTCAGTTTAATCGTGTCTGTATTTGTGCTTCATTTGAAAGTGGCATTTTAGAAACCGATATAGAATTGTTCGAACGGCTCATTAAACATTTCGGTGAAGAGAGAATCAAGCCTTATTTAAGTTTTATTTTGACTCGATGCGAATCGAAGGATGAAGAATCCAGAGCTAACATAACAGAAGATTTTAATAAAGATTATAAATTTTCTCGTGTAATGCATTGGTTCGATCGACGAATCCACTTCACAGGAGCCCTGAATCCAGTTGACTGGAATCGAGCAAATGAAGAAGTGATTCTTGATCAATTTAAATCAGTCTGCAAAGATCGGCGAAGATTTTTAGAATTTATCGAACGTAATCCTGGCATCGAACTATTTAATATTCAATCGTCAAAAAAAAGTTCTTCGTTTAACTCAAGTTTCAGAAGCAATCTCAGGTAATTATCTAAGATAACTAAGCATTGTTCGTCAGATATTACAATTTTTGGAATTTTTGAAATAATAATTCTGAAAACAATTCGAAAATAAGTATCTTATTCTTCAAATGTGTTTTTCATCTTACCATTTTATTTGTAAACTACCGTAACCATAATTGTTTTGTCTACATCAACCTCGTTTATAATCTTATTCAAATCCTCAAAATGAGCATTTGCAGTTGTATCTCATTTAGTGTAATGAACAAGAATTATCAAATGAAAAATGCCACTCTTTAATTTAATTATTTTCTTATTATCGCTCAAGACATTTATCATAATAGTTGGCTTTATATTCGAAACGATGTGCAAAGGTGATAATCTCGGCATTTTAAATCAATCAATGATTAGTATAGTATAAAAAATGTGGATTAACTGGTGGAGCGAAATCGAAAATCGTTCCTGAAAAGATTGAACTTTCGAAAATTTATCTGCACTATCAAGATACATTGTGAATCCTATTGAATATTGAAGTCAATTATTGTTTCTATCATTTTCGAACGATAAAAGTGCTGTGAAACAAGACAACATGATTGATATTCACTTTTGAAGAAAAAATCGTTCGCAAACATTTTTTTTACGAAAGCATTAATTCAAACAAAATCTTGAACTACTATAGGCTTGTTTGTCATTTGATTTAGTAGTTTTGTACGTAACATTGATTACACTCGTATGAGTATTACGAATTTGTTAGGGTTCTCCTGAGTGTAGTATCAGCTCGTTTGAATGCATCTTTCTTTAACAACAAGGATTAACATAGGAGACTACTATGAAAATTTCGTGAGAAAATCATTTTTATTCCGTAACTAAAGAAGGAACATTAGCATGAGAAGTCTTTCCTAGTGTGTCATATATTACTTTGCACGGTTCAAAAATCGGTAAATATTTTTACTACAATCTTCTTTTACAGGTATTTATCTATGATGCCAACGATTGTTTCGAGAATGAATGCGAAAGCTCGATTCATTTCATTCGCCATTATTTTTGTATTTATTGCATTACTTTTACAACTGATCATAAAGAATATGTATCCGATTGAACATTCATCCAAATCATCTCAAGATCCGAGTCACAAAGAAACGAATCAATCAGTACAGCCAATAAAAACGGTAAATTGAAATGATTAATTTGTTCAAAAGTCGACCTTAGGACATGTGCGTGTGTGAATGATGATTAAAGATTGGTTGGCATCCACGCCCATCGCCCTTTAGTAATATTTATTGTTCGACAAAGCTATGCACTCAGTATTTGTTGTCTGAAAGAACATCGTCGTAATACTGTGGAATTCATTGCTTTGGATAGTTTGATTCGGATGACTTTGTCTCTAATACGCAAAAGTGGAGTTTTCTTTCACAATAGATGGAGGTTTTTGATAGCCACTACATGTTAACAGAAGATGGAGAAAAGTACAGTGCATTCAGAGCACTTAGAAAGCTTCTGGTGTAGCTTAGTATCTATCTGCTTTGAAGAACAACTATAAGAATGAAATCGAAGAGTGATCATATGAAGCACGAAATATTTTTCGTAGGGTAGATAATGTTAGTTTTGAATGGTCAAGAAATTCATCCTGTGAACGAGGAATAAAATTATGTTTTAAACGAGAATTGTGAGTTTTAAAAGAAAGTCTATTTCACAACTGATTTGTGTTCTTATCACCGTTTCTCTTCTTATTTTCAACAAATTTTAGTTCAAAATACCGGCACCAAATACTCTCTGGCCAGAACCTCGATACAAAAACATTAGCATGAATTTTGTTTATGTCAATCTTAATTTTAGTATTAATTCAACTTTAGGAAAGTGCGAAATTATTGAACATGCTATTGAAAATTATAGAAACAAGTTTCAATCAATAATGTTAAACCATGATCCACTGCCAGATAACACTGACGAACAAAAAGTCCTTGCAGTACTCAATCTTGAAATTATATCGGAAAAATGCGAAAGCTATCCAACAATACATGACGACGAATCATGTATGTACCATGTTTTTGTCACCTGCCTAAGAACGTATTCTGCATCGATTTCTATAGATAATCTAACAATCGAACAAACCAATGGCACAATTAAAGCAAAAACTATCTGGGGCGCATTGAATGGTCTGGTGACATTTTCTCAGTTGCTTTTTATTACAGATAGGAATCAGGTAGTGTTTTATTACATTAAAATGATTTTGTTTTTCTATTGTTGAAAATTAGGTTGCTATCAACGCATCGATTGCTATTGAAGATGAACCTCGTTTTCCACATCGTGGTATTCTCCTGGATACTGATCGTCGTTTTCTATCAGTTAAAGTGATAAAACAACATTTGGTATGTGTCGAGACAGTTTGATTCTAATCTGAATATTAAAAACCGAAAACTCACTAGAAGACAATCTTCATACCGTCTTCATTTTTCAGAGAAGTGCAATTTTACGCCAAGATTTCTGATTTGAGTCATCTGTAACTTTAGACATTTGATTATTAACTACATGGATATTTATTTTCGTAAACCGCACATTGAATTCTATGCGTCATGGCTCAGTGTCAGAATCGGACAATGAAATTCGAATTTAAGTTAGACTAACTATCGTTAGTCTTCGTTTACCGGAGTATGAGAATAATGAATATTGAAACCAGCAAAGATGAAACTTTTAGTATTGGATTTTTTTTAGAAGAATTCGATTGTAAAACTCTTCAACAGTAAGCTGTATTTCTGAATCTCTTTTATTTTATTATTAGGATATGATGGCGTACAACAAATTCAATGTACTTCATTGGCGTCTTGCTGGTGATCAATACTGGACGTTGGAATCCGAACAATATTCAAATTTGACCCAAGTTCAATTCATTTTTATCTCCATAGTTATCGTCATTATTTATGTGATATTTAGGATGTTCCTTGGATGGATAATGTTTACACACCTGAACAAGTAAAAGAAATTATCGAATATGCTCGTATTCGAGGCATTCGTATCGTCCCTGAATTGAATACTCCCGGTTATGTTGGCACTCTCAGTCGAGTATTTCCAGGTTGGAACTATTTTACCTTGGCATATTTCGAATATTTTCCTTCTTCACAGAGTTTTTAATCGATTGTGATTCGGAATCAACGCATAACAAAGATAATTATGAACAACGTGTACTACTCGATCCAACAAAAGAAAAAGTCTATTCATTCTTAGAAATAATTCTCAAAGAAATTAATCAAAAGTTCCAAAACGAATCTTATATTCACCTTGGCATGAATAGAATCTACTCCAAAGATTGGTATAAGTTTTGATTTCACTTTGATCTTGAGTTCCATCATACTTTTTTGCGTAGTACGTCAACTATTGACATTCAAGAGTTCATGAATAAGACTAATATGACCGATGGTACCGATCTGATGGCGTATCATTTGAGTAAAATGCTTGAGATTACCAGGAAACTTGAAGTTAAAGCAATGGTCTGGCAAGATGTCTGGCATGCTGGTGTCAAATTGCCACCGGAAGTAGTTATCGAGATTTGGAAGAATACTTCATTGGTGTCTGAAGCTCAATCATGGTCTACTTACTTATCAAAAGCAATTCATGAAGGATATGAGGTTATTCTTGCCGCTCCATTCAACCTTAGCATGTAGGAAAAATTCGGTCTCTTCTTGAAGCAAGAATGGCTTTAGCTTTTTTTTCTTTTTAGGCTCTCCTACAAAAAATGGAACGCAGCAGATTCAATCATCGATTCTCAATTTTACAAATGGTACAATATTGAATTATTTACCGACTTTATTGGTACATTCGATTTTGTTTGTTCTCTAGAATAAACATTTCTTTTATTTTTAGGTAATGAGACTATTCGAGAAAGGCTAATTGGTGGTGAAGCAATCCTTGATGAAGAATTAGTTGGTGAAGCTAATAGCTTGATTCGTTTTTGGCCCCGAGCAGCGGTGGTAGCTGAAAAATTATGGAGTTTATCGAATATAAACAGTATGGAAGATCCTCTAGCTCGATTCAAAGTTCATGGATCTCGACTACACAAGTTACTGAAGTCTTAATCAATCAATACAATTTTTTGCCGCTGAAGGGATATACCGAGTGCACAGAATAACAATCGCTCTAGTTCTTTATTAGAATTCACGAGTCCATCAATAATCAAATTTTGATTTATTACCTTTTCTTATTGAATCTTATGAAAGGCCCAAAAAGAATCGTTCTAAATAACAATGAAGCTTGTTTAGATAAATTTTTCGATGGATGTTATGTGTGTGGGTTGGTGTGAATGTGACGGCGAATGCCGTTGAATAACAGAAAGAAACCGCTCCCACACCCTTTCCGTCTATCCAGAAGCAGTTTGGCATGCAAACAAGGGTAGGGTGGGGTGGAGTGTGGGTGTGGGGTGTGGGTGTGGGTGTGGGTGGGTGTGGGTGTGGGTGTGGGG